ATCTAATGGTTGTTCATGGTTGAAAAAATGGTTGTGCCATTCCACATTATTACAAATAACTTCATTTCTGGACATTTATGGTTTGATTTCTTTGTATGTATGGATCACTTGGGTTGTTACCAACATCTGGTGAATATTTCATGTCATTAGCACCTCTAGTAATATATTTACTGAGAAAAATGTTGACATGTTCAATACTTATTTTACCCACTGTGTATATAAAATAAAATGTGGTATATAATAAACTAAATAATTAGCTAAATWAATTAGGTAATAAAACACAAATAAAGTTTTACATTAGTACCTCGAAGGGCAACAGTCCCATCATCAGAAAATGTGTTTGGGTCTAAGAAGACGGTAGGCTCAGCATCTAGACTCTCCTGCACATACATCACACTCTGGTTCTGGAGGCCCGTGTTGTAGAAGTGAAAGTACCTATAAACATGGAAAGAAACGAGGGGAAAAGGTCCACAGAAATCGTGAAAACGTGTGCAGCGACAGCTTGAAGCGTCGCACAAACCATCACTGCCCTAACCTGATAAATTATGTTCGTCTGAGCGTTCCTCACCTGCTTCCCCTCTTAAAAGGACAGCTATACTTGGGATAGTCATACAGCTCAGTCATCCGCTCCTTGAAGAGATCTCGCACCTCGCACTGTTCTAAAAACGGCAACGTCAGCTGGTTCTGAGCGTTGACAAAAGCCTGGCGGGAGAACACACAACATTTCTGAACATCACAGCAATAACATCTCCGTATCCAGACATTTTCTAAGGTTTTTAACGGTCCTGAACAATATTCCTTTAGGCTTTTTGAAGTTTTACATTGAACATCTGCTRATTTTACATCTGAATGCACAATATGTGTAGGGATGTTGACATTTCGTCAGCAGCTGCTGCCATTTTCTTCCCAAACTGCTGTGACCAGAATTTGCAAGGCTGCTCGCTGCATTTGTAATTTCCTCCTGCTTCGTTATTTCTACGAATTTCAACAAACTGCGCTGCTGTCAGGTAGTTAGCTACAGCCTCGTCTTCCAGTTTTTAATTTTTGTTGATGCGTTTTGAAGAGGCAATTTTTTGAAAATAGGATCAAAGTAAATCACCCGAGTTTTTCTAGTGACCCTTAAAGAGATAAGCTGCCATGAAGAACATTATTTTATCTGCCCTTGTTCCAAATTTGATCATGATTTGAAACGTCGAAGTATGTTTTTTTCAATCCAGAACAGCGCTTGTTGCAAAGTGTTTTGATGCTCGTTTTCGTCACTTGACACATTTAATACGCCGTCATTGGTTGAGGAGCTTTGTTTACAAAACAGATGTCCACAAGGTTTTTACATAGTTTTAATTTCCTTACTTTCTAAGACACATTAAGTTGATTTGATGCTGCAGTTTGCCTTGTAATATTATTTAATACCTTTTCTGCTACATTTGCATTGGCTGTTATTAAGTTTTATTAGTTTTTTAGGATACAAGATGCTTCCTACAAAAATCAGAATGTGAATCTTTTCCTAAAATTTCATGGTGATACCTTGAACACTGAGGAAGTTATGAGCAAAAATAGAAAACAAGGTGAAATGGTCTCAATTGGTTCTGCTGTGAGCTGCAGCAAGAAAACACACGGCAAAAACTGTCCATCTTACCAAGTTTTAAAAYCTTATATCAGCCAAAAAGTCTTTTTGATCTTGTTTTGAGACTGATTTACTAAACAAGAACTGATTTAAGAATAATAATCTTGTTTTCAGAATGTGTAAGATTATTTGTCTTGTTAGTCTGAAAATTTGACTCAAATTAAGTCAAAATTCTGCCAGTGGAGTAAGAAAATTTTACTTGGTAAGATAATCAAAATACTTGATTTGACTCATTTTTTTCTTATTTCAAGAATCTTACCAAGTAAAATTTTCTTCACTGGCAGAAATTTGACTTAATTTGAGTCAAATTTTCAGAATAACAAGACAAATAATCTTACACATTCTGAAAACAAGATTATTATTCTTACACAATCAGTTCTTGTTTAGTAAATCAGTCTCAAAACAAGATCAAAAAGACTTTTTGGCTGATATAAGATTTTAAAACTTGGTTTGGTGGACAGTTTTTGCAGTGCATGAGCTGATTTCACCTAAACAAACATCAATAACTTCCCTCAAACTTGAGATAATCACATGATTTTTTTTTGTATGGTTTGAAATATTCTTTTGGAATCCGCTGTCAAGATTTAATATTGGTGTAGGATTAAAAATTTATCCACATCCCTTATATTTGCATTATAACGCAAGAACAGACCTTTAAGTTTAAGACTTGTCAATCCTAACACAACTTTATGAAACCACCACTTGCCACACATTTTTTAGCCTGAACTACAACTTAGTTTGTGACACATAAACTATTAAAGCATCACCCCCTTGAAATAAAATGACTGCTGATTATGAGTGTAAGGCTAATAAAGCCAGTGGTATAGTTTTACCTGAGTCTTTTCACTGTCAGGATCCTCCAACCAGCTGTAAGGATCCGGTACTTTGACACCGTGATAGTCATCCACCTGACAGGCGACATAAATTGAAATTAAATTATGAACCGTAAGAGAGGCTAAAGCAGTGGGTTAGTTTCACAATCGGTAAACGTGAATTCATGAATGTTAAAACCGGGGAAAGCTGAAGTCACGGCTGCTCTTTGGGGTTTGTTTTCCCACACAGACATTTAAGCTAACTAGCATGCTAACAAAGCAAACGCTCACGGCAATGAATGAAAACGCTTAATGAGGCTACCGGCTAAATATAGCACGCTAGGCTAGTTAGCATGCCCCATTCACTTACAACTGCCTCGTCACGGTAAGCCTGTGGGTACTGAAAAGCCATTGTGGAGGTTAGTCTTCGGGAGTGTCGTAACACACAACGTTTACTCAGTGAATGCAGCAGTAGTTTGGAAACAACTCTGTAAATCATGAACTTTAAACACTGGAGATTTTGTCAGCGGTACGAGACGCCCCGCATTACACACAGTCAAAGAAGCACCGAAGAAGAGAGGCGCATTGGACGCAGTGACGTCAACTCAAATCCTTACACCGCCCCCTGTTGACGAAAACCGGTAAGACAACTCCTTGAAGATATAAAATACTGCTTTAGGCGGTGTTTTTTTTGAATGGGTGTCCACTTCTAATTTCTCACTCAGAGCAAAGCAGATGCTAATGACTCTCAATTACTACCACATCAAATTTTAGCTTAATGTCTGTAAAACTGACAGACTTACAGCCGCATTCTTGTGTCGCTTTTGAAATATTTTGGTAGCAGATATACAATCCCTCCCAACACACACAGACATGAGCTGCCTTTAACCTTTTGGCGTCAGCGAATAACCGCACTCTTGCAAATCGCTTACAAAGAAAAAGACAGGACCCTGCAGGTGACTTATGGTTTCTTTCCACCGTTTACACCTCAAACTTCCTGTGCAGCTCAGAGTCCTGTCTTCTGCAGAAATACTCAGATGACTTTGCTGTGGTGATGCGTGTCAGTGGTGGACAGGAGGCTGAATGCAGGGAAATGATGGAACATTTTGAGGTATTGTATAATGATAAAACAAACACGGTATTTTGGACATGAACAGAACAAGTATGTCAATTTTTCAAAAGAATACTACAGAATCAATAGTATAATAATACAGTTTAAGACCAATTCTAATTTCTTTATACTTCGCTTCCAAGACATGATCTTCCTTTTAATATTGTTTAAGCAGCTCTAGGTTTCTGAAGGTCTTTCAAAGATTTTGCTTTTACTTCTCAGTGCAGGTCCTGACCACGACAGTCTTTAAGAAAATGGTGAGGGAAGTGAGAACTGAAAAAAAAATCTACAGCAGACAAACAGTATCTGAAAACCATGACTTCACTAATTAAAAATATATATACTTAGCACAAAACGTAAAGAAATTTGTGTTTGATAAATCATTTTATGTTGTAACAAAGCTTCTCAGCAAAATATCCTTGGAAAGTCTGTTAATTTCCATTTTAAAAGGTGCCACATTTGTAAGGAACATGCATTTGTAGGATGTACAGTCTTATTACCATGTAATTACAAGGTAATGTAATTAAATGTAATTACTGCCTTATTACTATGTAATTACGTGGTAAATAGGGTACAATTTTACTATGTAATTAATTGTCTGCAGTAATGTAGCACTTACCTGGTAATGTATTACAATTCACTATGTAACACCTAAATAAGTAGTAGGTAATTTGGACAGTTTAAAATTTAGATTTTATTGCAATTATCCACTAACCCCAAAATTTTTTTGCATTCTTTTGGTTATAAATATAGTGTTGAGTTACTACTGAATAGTAATTTGATTGTAGTTACCCAGTAAAGGTAGTTTTACTAACAGTAGTTTTTCTTTTGTACCATAACTACCACGTAATTACATGGTAAAAAGGAAGTAATTACATTTAATTAATTTTTTTACTTTGTAATTACATGGTAATAAGGGTACCGTAAAAGAAAGTGTTACCCCTTTTTTTACTTATTTTATTTCCTTCCAATTTTCTGACCATTCTTTTTTCTCGTTTCCTCCCATACATTTATTTTTCCTTGTCTTTCCCATCCTTCTCTTTATTTCCTTTCCACTTTCCTGTCCTTTTTTGTCTTTCTTGCTTCCAGCAAGCTTACTTAAAAGAGGTAAACCATGCCTAGGTAAGCATCGAAAAACAAAACCATGTCCAGAACCTAAATCTTTTAACCCCTGATTGTCCCAGACACCAGAACTTGATAAAAAGCCAATTTTTATTGGAGATTCTGCCAAACACCCAGTGTGCAGCAGAGCTGATGTGGTACATGAAAATTTTGCCAAATCTCCTCTGTTATTTCCAAACAGCTTATGTTATTGATTTGATTTGATTTATTGATTCAACAGGAAAAGATTATTAAAAATCAAGCCTGACTCAGCATAATTGCTGTTTTACAGCAGGTTCCTGTTCTGCAGCACATAAAACACTCAGAATTACAGCATCACAATCACATCATTATACACCATAGACACAAAGACAAACAAGCATACCAAATTTCAGGAAGGCAGCATTTGCAAAATCGGACGTCTAAATATGAGCGCAACAAAATGTGTCCAGCAGATAGCAGACAAGATTCTTCTTAAAGGGCTGTAGTTTTGAAATGGACTTTTTGTTTTGAGGAATGTCATTCCATGCTTTAGTATAAACATAGAAGAAAGACCTCTGGCCGTAACAGTTTTTAAAAGTTGGCAATATCAGTTGTCCTTTTGTAACAGATCWAGYTWAATGAYCACTTCCAGAATTTGATTTGGGCAACAATGCACAGAGAGTTCCATAATTGGCACCTTGGAAGATCTGAAAATATAAATTAATACCACTATATTGACTCTTGGTTTGAGCTTCTGGTACTCCCAGGTGCTGCCATTCAGTGCCCCGTTTAATTATTGCCAACAAGCATTGCTGCAACACACTAATTTACTTATTTTTGTGTTAAATGTATCAACTAAATGTAAATGAACTGGATTGAAAATGAGTTAAAACCTAAAATTCAAACATAAACCTTGAAAACTACATGTCCAACAATAATAAATATGTTTTCTGTAGTTTTTGTAAACACTTCAGTTAAAAGGTCACGCTGAGGATCTCCATCACGACTCTTATCTGTGTGACAACAGGAGAGAGAGGTCAGCTCCACGTTTTGCCTTCTTTCTACTCATCATCGTCCCCTCCCTTCCTTCCTCCACTTCTTTAATCAATCAGTGCTATTGTGACCATCATTATCTCCCATGATGACTGATGGCAGAAGATAAGGCTTACAGAGGTAGCACTGAACTCTGAAGGAGTGATCACATCTATTGGGGCAAATTGAAGAAGTGTCCACGGATGTTAACGTTTGGCTTTTCCTTTAATTCTCTCTGCATACAACACTGAAAAAATATCACATTATCAGTAGCATTGTTAAATTGCTGCAAAATCTTCTTCCTTGAAGTTATTGCTGATTTATTTTCGTCCAGTTTCGTCAACTTTAGTGCCACACAATGATAAGATCTTCCATACCTGGCGTTTTACACAGCCGCACTTCCGTCAAAATGAAAAACATAGCTTTGGTGCCGCTTTTGATCCAAAGTCAGATGGCTTTTAGGACATTTCTGAAACATTACTTTCATTTTCCACTTGGTGCATCTCAGATATTTCACTGAGTCAGAAGTTCTGAGGAAGAGATGAAAAGATTCGAAGGTGGTGCGACTATAAACGAACATTAAAAGGAGGAGAAAACAGGAAGTGAAGGTACAACCCTAAATTTGAAAAAGACCCGACGCGTAAAGCGTAATTAAAAACGTAATAAAAATATATTGCAAATCACAAAAACATGTATTTTATCAACAAATAAAACTGAGGAATTAAACAATTTTTTGGGGGAAAAAAATAAGTTGGAATTTTATGGCAGCAACACATGTTGGATAAATCATTGTCTAGATTTAAATTAAAGCTCTATCACGCAAAGAAAAGCCATTTGTGAACACAAATGTAACAAATGCCCCATATTCTCTGAGCCAAAGCTCGTTTAAAATAGATTGAAGTGGAAAAGCTTTTTTTGGGGTCAGAAGAATCAAAATTTGAAATTTATTTAAAAAAAACTCAAATGCTGCATCGTCCGAAGATGGATCATCATGCCTGTCAGCGCCGCTTTTACAAGAAAATAAAAAAGTATCACCTATGTTTTGTACCTTGTTAAAAAATAACTGAGTGATATGTATCTCATCCATCATCGCCTGTTGGAATTTGGAATGACGGCGTAAGCKATTACAGGAAATTCGTCACTCTCTTCCTCCTTCAGCTCCAGGAATACACTTCCAAATACAAAAAAGGGGATCCCTTCCTGTTTGCCTATTTGCCACAAAATGCATAAAAGACCCATTATCCTGATACGCCTTTACTTCACACACTGCAGAGAGAATAGCAGGGGCGGTTTGAATGAGCGTGTTTGCGTTGGACCCTTTTTTGTGCTCGTAGAACAGCTGGGTGCGTGCGCACTTGTGTGTTTGACATGGAGCTGGACGGCRCTGGAGGTGTCCATGCATGAATCACACCTCCTCTCCCCTTTTGTTTTCCTCCATTGTCCGGAGTCAGCGGTGATCTGTCCCCCCGTAGTCGGAAGCACCTGTCTCCGTTGCGGCAGACAAAGAGGGACGACCACCTGATGTGTTTCGTTACGAAGGGTTACCACAAGGTTAACCCACTCAAAAAATAAATAAAATAAAGAACATCTTCTCTGCTTCCTGTGAAGCAGTACACATTGCTGACTTTAACTGCTACACCTAATTAAACACGAACGCAGAACAGAAGAGGTTGATCAGGACCATCCACGGAAACGAATGGCTGAAATTGTGCCACTTGATGAACCAGTTTAATGCAGGAAGACGAGCTGATATGATCAATCACCACCTCCTTAACAAGCACAAACAAGCTTTTGTTGTGTTTTTCTTTTAAGCCGCGATAACTTACTTACCTTCAGAATTCAAGCTTGTAGAAGAAGAACTGATAAAGTTTAAAGGGATCCATGATTAGTTGTAACATTAGACTTTATTTGATAAACACACATTTTAACTGTAAAATAAAGACTAAAAATACTGTAGGCTGTTTAGTTTTTATAATATTTTTAAAATATATTTTAATACAGACGGAGCCATTTTATTTACACT